TCACAACATTGTCACACTCCTTTCCTAATTTGGAACCAGTCTGTTGTTCTATATCCGGTTCTAACTGGTGCTTCTTGACCTACACACAGATTTCTCAGGAGGCAGGTAAGGTGGTCTGGTACTTCCATCTGTTGAAGAATTTTCCACAGTTTGTTGTGATCCACACAGTCAAAGGCTCTAGTTTAGTCAGTTAAGCAGAAGTAGATGTTTTCCTGGAATTCCCTTGCTTTTTCTATGATCCAAAGAATGTTGCCAATTTGATCTCTGGTTCCTCTATCTTTTCTAACTCCCGCTTGTACATCCAGAGGTTTTAGGTTTACGCACTGTTGAAGCATAGGTTGAAGGATTTTAAACATAACCTTGCTAGCATGTGAAATGAGTGCAATTGTGCCATAGTTTGAAGACTCGTTGGCATTGCCTTTCTTTGGGATTGGAATGAAAAGTCTCCTTTTCCAGTCCTGTGACCACTGCTGAGTTTTCCAAATTTGCTGGCATATTGAGGGCAGCACTATCACAGCATCATCTAGTTCCCCTACCCAGGATCCAACCTGGGCCCCCTGCATTGGGAGCGCGGAGTCTTCGCCACTGGACCAAACGGCAGTCCTCTCACTTTGCACGTTGTGAGGCTCATCCCCATGGTAGCAGGTGTCAGAAGTGAGTGGCAGTCGCTCTCATCATAGACCACGTTTTGCTTATGGATGATGCTGCCCCAACATCCGTCCACACGGAAGCTCTCCGTGCTCTTGGCCAGGACCTCGGAGTGGCGCTGCGGGGTCCTGTGCAAATCCGAGGCGCCGGCAGGCCGGGGACAGGGCCTCCGCCGGCCCTACGCCCTCCCCGCCTCTCGGGCGGGCTCTCCCCCGCTCCCGCAGCCCGGCCCGCCGCCCCCTGCGCCTGCGGTTTCTCCGGATTCGCACGAGGACGGGAGCCGGCCTGATGTCCCGGTCAACCTGCGCTTGTCACCGGGTACCGGGCCGCTCTCGGCTTCTTGTCTTCTCAGACCCGGCTCCGCACGCCCTGCCAGCGCGGCGACGCGGTTTCCCCTCCCGAGACCTCTCGCGGTCAGCGTCCGGTGGGAGAGGGGCCGCCGCGCCCGCAGTCGCCTTTTCGGGTGGTGCTGCCCCCTGGCGGCCGCGGGCCGGACGCGCTGGGCGCTCAGCCGCGCGCGCCCTCTAGGGGTCGCCGCCAGGACAGACGCGCCTCCGTCGAGGAGGGTTGGGTCCTCGCAGGGCCCGGGGAAAGGCCCGCAGGAAGCGGGACCGACGCTCTGCGTTTTGAGCGCCGTCTCGGTGTCAGGCGCAGCTTCCGCTGGGGACACTCCCAATGTCGATGAACACCCACAGTAGCGCTGCGGGCAGGTCTTGCGGCCAGTCCCAAATCCCAGGGGAAGACCCGAGGCGGGCGGCGCGCGTGGACGGGATGAGGCCTCGCTAAGACATCCAGCTGCGAGGCTGCCAGCCGCGGCCCCGCGGCTGCCCCCTCGACACACCGAGCCCCCTGCCCACGTCTGCGGCAGCCCACGAGGGGGCTGCGGAGGGTCGCAGGGGTGCAGAGGCCCTTCCTGAGCCTCTCGGCCCTGAGGCCCACCCCGCCCGTCCCGTCAGCCTTGCTTTCCCGGGGCAGGAGCCCGGTATGGGATCTGGCCCTGAGTCCTCCCCCCACCCCCTCCCACCCCTCCTCGATTCTTCACAGGCTTTTATCCCCAGATGTCGTCCACATCAGCTCCCCACTTGGCCCCTCCACTGAGGGCTGAGAACCTGGACTGGGACCCTCGGCCCTCCTCGGGGAGCCTGCCCTCCCCGGTGGCGATGGCCCTCCACGCAGCCGCCTTCTCACCTTATGCAGCCCTGCCCCATCCCTGAAGGCACCTCTGAGACTCCCGGGTGGAGGCCCCCCAGGTCACCCCTCCTGGCAAACTCCTGGCAGCTCACTGAGCCAGGGGCTCCGTCCCCACACCCCCCACCTCAGTGGTGAGCTGGTGGACCGGTCGGTGCCGATGCATCCCGCTGGAGAAGAAGGGCTGTTTATTGGTGGTGTGACGTCAGCAGAAGACGGAGGAGCAGGAGATTCCCAGCCTGGGTGTGATGTGGTCGTGAATTCACTGGGAAGCCCCTTGGCTAGGAGCTGGGGGGTGTGAGTCCAGGGTCACGTGACCTGCACGCGTGCCCACACACACACACACAGACACACATGCACAAACCAGGTGGTGCTCTGAGCCAGTCTTGTGAGAGGACAGAGGGGCGGAGGAGGGATGGAGAGAACAGGCCAGGCCCACCCCTGAGGCTTGTACACCCATCCCCGCACTCCAGGCTGAGGGCCGGTGAAGCCCCCTCGGGCCAAGGATGGAGCCTGCTGACCCAGAGGGGCACAGTGTACACCCCACCTTCATCTGATGCCTCCGCTCCTGGGCAGCCTGGTCACCCTGGTGCCAGTGAGGCGGGCTCTGGATCCGCAGGGAGAAAGGACAGAAAGCCGTGCCCTGGTACGGGGCCAAACTGGGCCAGGGAGACTGCGGACCCAGCAGGGCAGCACCAGGGCTCTAGATGGACTCTGGGGCCCGGCACGTGGCCTTGAGACAGAAGGGGCACCCCAGGGGGACACAAAAGAGGGTCCACAAAAACAGAAGCCGCAGAGATTGAGGTGATGTAACCGCAAGCCCAGGGACCCCTGGAGCCACCGGACGCTGGTGAAGCAGGAAGGACCCTCTCTTGGAGGCTTCTGACACCTTGATTTTGGACTTGGGGCCTAGGAGCTGTGAGAGGGTCAGTTCCTGTTGCTTTAATGACCCAGTTTGTGGCCCTTTGTTCCGGCCGTCCCAGGACATCTGCAGCGGGGAGCCGGAGATGCTGCTCACAAGGCCCTGCTGCTTGGAGGGGCGGCCCCTCGGCGGGGGCACGGGCTTCATGTCCATGACTGAGACTGAGGCACAAAATGTCGAAAAGTGAGAGTGTCAGTCGCTCGGTCCTGTCTGACTCTCTGTCACCCTATGGACTGTAGCGCTCCAGGCTCCTCTGTCCTTGGAATTCTCCAGGCAGGAACACTGGAGTGAGTTGCCATTTCCTGCTCCAGGTATCTTCCCAACCCAGGGATTGGACCCCAGGTCTCCTGTATCGTAGGCAGATTCTTTGCCATCTGAGCCACCAGGGAAGCCCCGTGGTGAAACCCCAGGGGAAGTGACACCAAGAGGCTAGGGTGCAGACAGTCCTGGGAGGACCTGGGATTTCAGACACCAGGAACTTTCCCCAAAACTGCCAAGGAAGTGGCACGAGGCTGCCGAGAAACGGTGTTAAAGAAAAAGATAAGCTACCATCAAAAAAAGCAGATTTTTGCAGCGACTGGGCAGCCAGCGCCCAGCCGTGGGGTGCTCTCACAATAACGGGCACCACCACGCAGATGGTGGCAGGTGCGGAGCAGGTGAGGGGTGAGCGCTGAGTCTGGGGGCCACTCGTCCCCCCGGGACAGGGAGGCCTGGCGTGCCACAGTCCGTGGGGTCGCAAAGAGTCAGACGCAACTGAGTGACTGAACTGAACTGAGCCTCCCCCCAGAGCCGTGCAGCACGCCTCTTGCTCCCTGTTGCCATCTGTGGGGGGCGGGCTTGTTGACCCCAGAAGGATATGTCTTGCCCTGCGCCATGGAATCTGCAGGCAGGACCTTGCTGGGAAATAGGCTCTGTCTAAGGGTGTAGCAATCAGCTCACCCTGGGTTATCCAGGGGAGTCCCGGGTCCAAAGACACAGAAGAGAGACAGGGGGACAGTCTGGGGTGATGCGGCTACACCCAGAAGTCAAGGATGCATGAGCTCCAGAGGCCGAGGGCGAAGCCTGGAGCCCAGGCCCCCAGGGCCCCCCAACGCCTCGATCCAGACCTCCAGCCCGAAGGCTGAGATCCTGCGGTGACTAGTTGCTGCAGCCCCAGGAACTCCCATGTTAGCCTCGAGGAACACCCTGTGAACACCCTAGAACACTACTCTAGAACCCGCCCATCACCTGGAGAGGCGCGCACGCTCCCCTCCCCCAGCCCGGCCCCCCCTGAGCCTGAGAAGTAAAATGACATTTCTGCACGTGAGGAAGTTGGCACTGATGTGTACTCTTGCGTTTTTATTCCCAGACGTGAAATCACATTTCTTTTCAGGGTCTTTCACAGTAAAGCTCATCCATCGACGCGGCCTTAGAGAAGCGGGAGTGGAAGTTGACCCTGACGCCGCCTTGGGGTTACGTGCAGTCAGCCCCGCTGCTGACCCGCTGAGGCCAGGGTTATGGGCCCTGCTACAGATGGGACTCGGAGGCAGCGCTGTGCCTGGCCTGGCCCTCGGCAGCTCCACCCCGACAGGAGCCAGGAAGCCTCCGTGCTGACAACGTGCTGGATCCTCGGAGCCCTTGGGCGTGTCCCCCTGCCTGGGGTGCCCCCCGGCCCTCCCAGCCCACAGGTGTGCCTGCCATGCACACACGGGGCTTCCTCCGGAGGCCACGTGGACTGCACCCCACCTTGAGGCTCCCCTCAGGGCCATGGTGCTTAGCTGCCCCAGCCAAGGGCCTGTGACCAGGGGCACGGTTTGCATGGACGACCCGGGGCAGAAGCAGAAATGCCCAGCCACGTACTCGCATCCAAGCGACACTTGCAGAAAAGCTCAGGAAATAAAGTTGTCACGCGGCGGCCGACAGGCAGCTTTCGCACACGGCCTGTGCAGCTGCCAGCAGTACCAGGCGGGCGCACGGCCTGCGCCAGCTGCCCTGCTGTGTGCTAATAGCAGAGAGCGCCAGCCAGAGCAAGCGCTCCGGCCCGCCACGTGCTCTTCCCTGCGGCCAGCAGGCTCGCCCTTACCCTGAATGAGCTGCCGCCTTCCGTGGGGCTTCTGCTCAGCCGGGACCCCCGGCGGCAGAGACTCCAGGGACGAGAAATCAGGGGTGAGCCATTTGGAGGGGACTCCCCAGCAGCACCATGGACATTGGATAGCGGTCTACAGGCAGCACCGGCGGCCAGCCCTGGCCCCCTGCGCTGGGCTCAGCAGGACCCCTCGGCCAGCCCCTCTGGGGTGCCCAGTGATGGCCCTGGTGGGTGGACGGGCCCGGGGAAGGCGTAGCTGTTGGTGGGGGACATGGGCGACTGTGCCTCCTCCGAGTCCTTCGAGCATGCAAGCTTGGTGTCATCTGTCTTCGTGGACCACTTTTTCCACCCCTTGTGGATTCTGCACACTTCCTGGCGGGTCACTTCCGCGGCCAGCACGTAGATGATGGGGTCAGCCACGCTGTTCACGGTGGCCAGGCTCAGGAACACCACGGAGGCCGTGTACAGGCGGATTTCAAAGTCGCACACAGGTTCTTCAGCCCCTCTGTGGTAGGAAAAGGCGATGGCTTTGATCAAGAGCACCAGGTGGTAGGGGGCGAAGCAGACCAGGAAGATGGCCACGACCGCAATGGCCAGGAGCCTCACCTTGGCCTTCTGGGAAGTGCTCAGGCTGGTGCTCCGCTGGATGGTCCTGAAGATGCGCTGGTTGGTGATGGCGATGATGGACAGCGGGACAGCAAAGCCCACCATGAAGCGTGCGTAGTAGTACCCGGCCACCTTGTGGTCCATCGGCAGCGTCTCGAAGCAAGTTTCATCGTGCTCCATCTTGAACACCGGGGAGTGGACGAGCCCGACGAGAAGGAAGACTGTCGCGGAGATGAGGATGGCGGTCTTCTGGTGGCGGCGGCCCCGCGTCTCCAGCGCGTACACCACCGCCAGGAAGCGGTCGCAGGAAATGCAGCAAAGGAAGAGGATGCTGATGTAGAGGTTGCAGAAGAAGACGTAGGCGGTCACCTTGCAGGCCCAGGGGCTGAGCGGCCAGCGGTGCCCGTGCTGGATGTAAACGACCCAGAGCGGCAGGGTGCTGATGTAGAGCAGCTCGCAGAGCGCCAGGCAGAAGAGGTAGACGGCCAGCACGTGGCCCTGGCGTGCCTGCAGCAGCGTGAGCCACGCCGTCAGGCAGTTGGCTGGCAGGCCCAGCACGCACACGCCGCTGTACACGGTCACCAGGAACACCCTGCTGTCGTTGAAGGGCACATTGCACGTGTGGGAAGACACGCCCATCGACAGGGCCCCCAGCGCAGGGCCGGTCTCCAGCGTGGCGTTTCCTGAGGGGCAGAGACAAGCGTGAGGGCGGGCGTGGCTGGGGACCATGTGAATCAGACCACCTGGAGCAACCCTTGGAGCACGCGGTGTCTTGAAGGGAAGACCCGCTCCCACAACGCAGAGCCCGCAGACCCTCTCACAGGCCGGCTTTCTTTCCTCTCTCGTGGCAGTTGTGAGCTTACATCTAGTGAGGCATCACCCGGGGGCATTTCCCGAGTCGGGAGGGGCGTCCTCCCCGGGGGTAGCGCTGACCTTCGGAGTCCCCGGGCAGGTGTCCTGACTCAAAACCCACACCCACCCTCCACGGGCGCATCCACATCCCCTCGGGAGACAGACGGGCAGAATCAGCTGCTGAATATAAAACCTGCCCTGACAGCTTGGGCCTGGCCACGTCCTCCCTTGATGCAGGCACACGGGGCAGTAGCCACTGCCCATCGTCACGTGACGCCCCGGCCCAGAGCACATGCAGGGACCCAGAGACGCCAGGACCCCCAGCGCCCACACCCGCCCCTGCTCTCCTCCACCCCGTCGGCTCAGCCGCACTTTCATGCCGTCCTTTGGAGGCGTCCCCTGGGCTCTGCCAGGCTCGCGCTGGGACCGTGCCAAGGCTGGCGGGCGAGCGCAGGGAGCAGATGCCCCCGGGCTTTGGGCTCCCTGTTGGGTGGGAAGAACCTGAGCCCGGCCTCCGGAGGCACTGTCCGTGCAGAGGCCTGCTTCTCCAAGAGCGGACAGTGGACAGAGCAGCCCCTTGAGGTCAGTGGGAGCCGCAAGCAGTGCCCAGGTGCAGGCAGGCCTCTCTGGGCGCAGTGGCCTCTGGCAAGGGTGGCCCCAGTATCCAACCCAGGGACTGGACAGTGCGCCGCACGGGGCGGGGGCGGCCCTGGTGATGCTACAGAACGTGGCTCTCGCTTCTGTAGCCTGGTGACCCCCGAGGCGTGAAGACTCTTTGGTTACTTAGAGTCGAGGGTGAAGACCCCTGGGCCTTTCCACAGGCCTTTCCCACGGCCAAGGAAACTTCAGCACATCCCAAAGCTGGCACAACCGTGGGGTCTCAGGCTCCCCCCACCACAGGGCGACCTTATGCAGAAATCCGTGGCCGGCTGTGAAGGCGGGAGGAGAGCTATGCTTCCCCTGTGGCTCAGTGGTAAAGAACCCGCCTGCAATGCAGGAGACACAGGTTCAATCCCTGGGTCGGGAAGATCCCCTGGAGGAGGAAATGGCAGCTCACTCCAGTATTCCAGAGAACCCCATGGACAGAGGAGCCTGGTGGGCTGCAGTTCATGGGGTCGCACGACTGAGCGGCGGAGCAGGGGCACACGGTGAAGGCAGGTAGAGGGCAGTAAGGGTCCTCGGCCGAAGGCCCATCAAGACGTGTCGGACGGCTGGTCCCGGGCCGGCGGAGGCGACGGCCCCACAGTGTGACCCCAAAGTCCGACTGTGCCCTCACCTGTTTCCCCCGCTTTTTAAAATTCTAGTAAAATATACATAGGATAAAAGTGATGATCTCACACACTCCACGTGTCCATTTCTGCGACATGAAGCGCAGTCATACTGCTGTACGGCCTTCACCACGCCCATCGCCGGAACTTTCTCATCTTGCAAAACTGAAGCTGTCCTCATTTAACCCCCAGCCCCTCCTGGGAGTGCATGGTAAAGAATGTGACCTTGGACGTCCCCGGTGGTCCAGTGGTTGAGAATCCGCCAGCCAGTGCAGGGGACACGGGCTCAGTCCCGGGTCTGGGAAGATCACACGTGCGGCTGAGCAGCGAGGCCCGGGGGCCACGACTACTGAGCCCCACTCTGGAGCCTCTGCTCAGCAACTAGAGGAGCCCACGTGCGGCTGACCCAGCAGTCAGAGACAAACAGCAAGTGAGATCGCAGAGAGAATGTGTCCTTCCGTGACCGCACGCCACGTCCTCAGGGCCACGGGTCAGAGCGCCCTTCCTCCTCAGGGCACCTCAGAGTCCGACGTGTGGCTGGACCACAGGCGCGTCTCCACTCCTCCGGCCAGGGACACGGGCGGCTCCCCTATCCTGGCTGCTGTGACCGCAGGTGTGCAGATGACTTCTCCACACCTGTGTTCACTTCCTTTGTGCGCATACTCAGAAGTGGGGCTGCCGGCTCGTGTGATGAGCCCCCTGGTAGCTTTCTGAGGACCCTCCAGACGGTTTCCATGGCAGCCACTCCATTTTCCATCTCTGCATCCTCAGCCGTGCTTGGTCTTTCTGTTTTGACAGTGGCCATTCGGATGGGTGTGAGGTGGTCCCTTCTCTGGGGCCCCACCCCTCGCCCTAAGTCCCTGGGATGTGGGTTTCATTCCATGTGCAGACAGAGGGTGCGGGCAAGTCCCCAGACCTAGGTGTCACTTCCCGCATGAGAGCCGGGCCAGCACAGGGGCTGGGGGTGCGTGAGGAGCAGCCAGCGGGAGGGCACTTCTCGGGTGGGAGGTAGGTGACACCTGTCTTGGCCCAAGCTGGCCCGGCCTGGACCGATGGTCCCCTCTGGTTGGACAAGTCCTCCACGAGCTGGCAGCCCACCGCCTGGACCACAGCACGGCCCTGGGTCTGTCCCAGTGCCGACCCTGTCTTGCCACCCCTTGGGGGGCAGGGTGTGGGGGGTCCCGAAGCCCAGGTGGAGGCTCAGGTGAGGCCCATGGGCCCTTTCCTGCTCCCGGCTCCCCCACCAACCGCCTGCCCTCAAGGGTGCCCTCTGGACTCGGCGTAGTTCAGTCACACTCCACCTGCTGGGGCCGTCTTCACCTGCCCGCGCCCCATCCCCGCCCCCAGCCATCTGGCGACCAAACCTGGGCACAGAGGTGAGAGCGCCCCCTGCCCCGCGGGCACTCGGAGGACCCGACCTCCTGGGAAAGGAGCCTTCTGGGCTGGGGGCAGGCGAGCCCCAGGGGACAGAGGGGCGGGCTCTGGGGGCCCAGGCCCCTCACAGGGACGGGCCCGGAGCCCGGCTTCCCCCGCAGTCCCGCCCCTGGCTGTTTTCTAGCACATTTAGAGAAGGAAGAAGCGGGTGCTGTCCCGTGTCCTGATGGGGAGCCTCTGGCTTTGCTGTCTGCGGGTTTGTTTTTATTTTAAGAAGTCTGCTTTTGCATGCTAACGTTTGAAGCAATTATCGCTGTTATGAGACCAAGCACAATTGTAGAAAAATTCCCACGGGCTCCCTCCTAAAGGAGGCCTGAGTGGGGCTCTCACCTGGCATGTTCGCAGGCTCCGGGCTCAGGGCCGGGCGGCTGTGCCCGTCACACAGCAGAGATGGTGCTGTTGAGACGTTCGCTCCCAGAGTTTAAAGTGACCTGGAGCAAGAGTGGGCAGAAATTGCTTTAGGGAAATCAGATTAAATCACAAATGAAGCCGTTTGACAAATCGTCACTGAGCACCTGTTACAGGCCAAGTCTTGTGTTTTGTCTTCCCTAGTAGCTCAGATGGTAAAGCACCCGCCTGCAATGCAGGAGACCCGGGTTCAATCCCTGGATGGGGAAGATCCCCTGGAGAAGAAAATGGCAACCCACTCCAGTATTCTTGCCAGGGGAATCCCGTGGACAGAGGATCCTGGGCATAGTCCATGGGGTTGCGACGAGTCGGACACGACTGAGCAACAAAACACACAGTCTTGTATTTATCCTGTGGGATACGACAGCAAAGTCTAAATATAGAAAGAACTCCCACAAACCAACAAAAGTAAGTGTCAAAGCTGATCATTCACAGAAGTGAAAACATCTCAACTGGAAAAACACTCAGCTCCACAGAGATAGTCAAAAAAAGGTGAATGTAAAACAACCAAACACCAATCTTTTTCTTGCCCATGAGACTGGCGCAGATAAAGAAATTCAACTCTTAGTGTTGGCGAGCAAGTGCAGAAGTGAGCTCCTCCATGCTGGGGACGGGGACATAAATGGGCACAGAGGCTTTCTAGCGCAATCTGGAAACGCACCTCAAAAGTCTTCCATGTGCTTAACTTTCGACCAGGTGAAATCATTTCCAGGAGCTTTCCTGATGAAATAGCTACCTGAGATTCAAAGTGCATGGACCGCACCCCCGTGAAAGGGACTGGGACCCCAGCCCAGGGCAGGGGCAGGCAGGCTCCGGGATGCTGGCCGACGGGACCGCATCCCGGCCCCCACCCCTGCCTCCTTCCTGAACCAGAGACGCCCCTAGCACAGGCCCCGTCCTAGCAGCCAGAGAGGGCCGGAGGGAGGGTCTTCCCTGCCGGCCTGGAACAGAGCCCCCCCCACCAGGGGAGCCGGCGGCTGAAGGCACCCCCTTCCCCGCCCCGCTCCGGGTGGGGTTGTCTGTGATGCCAGCAGACGAGCTAGCCGGAAATAACAGGAAACCAAGGTGTTTACCTGAAACTGCAGAAAGTTCATCAGTTTAGAAAGAGTTTATAAGCAAGACCTCGAAAATACAGACAAAGGGGAGATGCAAGAAAGAGTCTAGATACACCGTTAACATTCTGAAACTGATATCCTGACCAAGTGGTGGGTGTGGGTCTGGGGGGTCCCTAGGTCTCCCCGTCCATCCCCTCACTCACCACCGCCCTCAGTCAATGAAGGGGGCTGAGCCCAACAAAGGGGGCTCCGGGAAGGCTGGTCTCCACTGTGAGGGTGGCCCACGTGAGCTGCAGTTGTGGGGGGGTGCCAACCCACCTGGGAGCCTTTGGGACGCCCCCGAACCACGTGAACCCAGGAGGAGACCCCCAGCCTCGCCCTGGGCGAGGGGCCAACCCCTCTGTCAGGACTGAGATTTGGGAAACCTGGGTGGGTGTTCCCTCCCCAGGGGCTGCCCCGCCAGCTCCTGCCTTAGCAGCTGGGAGCAGAGGGGGACCGCTGTCTCTAGAAGTCACTTCTGCAAAAGCCAGAGGAAGTGGCCCAACTGTCGGTGTGCATCCCCCAGCAGGGGTGAGGCCTGCAGGCAGAGGTCTGTGCAGAGAGCGCAGGCTGGCCGGGCCGGCGGGGGTTGCGGGGGGCGTCCTGGGCCCTGCCTGGCGCCCCCGCCCCGCCCTCCTGTGTAGACAGAGCTCTGACTCTGGGTCTGGGGTGGCAGCCGTGTCTGCCTGGACTGGTAGGGGGTAGGGGGCCGTGTTGGGAGGAGCAGGGCAGGGGTCAGGAACGCAGCACAAGGCCCAGGCCAGGGCGGCCAGGGGCTGGGACGGCGCTACCCCCACGGTGCAGTCCGGCCCTGCCCAGGCCCGGTGGGTTCCTCCTCTGCACCCACCTCCGGGCCGTCTGCCCCGCACAGCTTGGCCCGTCCCTGGGCTCGTCTGGGACCTTCCCCCCCGATGCCCACTTGGCTTCAGGTCTCCGCCCCGGCTTCTCCGGGGGTCTCTGGACCCCGTGGCCTGGCCTCCTCCTGCTTCCTCTCGTGTCCTCCGTCCTCTGCGTCTGCCCCACCCCGTGAGCTGAGCGACCCGGGAGGGGGCCGTGGGTCCACCCCACCTCAGCGTGTCAGCCAGGACACCGCCCAGCCCGCCCAGGGGGGCGGTGGGCTGTCCCCCCCCAGCATCCGCACCTGCCCACCCAGAGGGCCCTGGCCCCTCCCCACCCATGGCTGGGGCTCTTGCAGGTGGGAATCAGGGGGCTTAGGTGCCCCCTTGTTCTCCCAGAGTCGGGTGCTTAGAGGGACACATCCCTCCCGTCCAGGCCCAGCTGCCTGCTCTTCCCTGCCCTCACCAGTGTCCCGTCCACCTTGGGAGATCCACAGGGGTGGTCCCGGCTGCAGGGGAGGTGGAGTGATAGGCCCCGCAGGAGGCCTCAGGAAGACAAGTCCCCCTTTCCACAATGCGGGCCTGGGCCTGGTGAGCTTGCGGTCCCGGGTCTGCGCTCTTGGGCGGGGTGGGGGCCACAGTAGCCACAGGCCGTGGGGTGGGTGGTCTGGGTCAGCCTGAGGCTCCTGCTCTTGGGTTCTAGCAGCCATGGACGCCGGCCCTGTCCCTGCTGGCCCTGGGTACCACGCTGGAGGCGGCACGTCCCGGAAGGGCCCCTGGACCCCCCAGGAGGGAGAGACATGACCGGGAGTGGCCTGGCCCGCAGAGCTGTCCCCGGACATGCCACGGCCCGTGGGTGCTACGGATCCCTCCCCTCATTTAGAACAACGATGAAAGGTTTCACTCGAGCTCTCTCAACAGGCACCGCCACAGCCTGAGGACCAGCCCGCCCACGGGCCTTGCCTCCCGGTTCCCATCTCAAGTCGTGGGACCTGGTCGCGGCGGCTGACGGCCTGTCCCGTGGCTGCCAGGCAGCGCCTTTGCCCGATTTGCCTCAGCTGGAACTTTCGGGTCATTTCCACCTCCTACCCCCGCCTCCTCACGCTAGCGCGCTGACTTCATTTCTGTCTGCCCGCAGTTCACACTTCGGGGCGGGACCTCTCGACCTGGGCCCCAAGCTCAGCTAGCTCACTGCTCTCACGCGGCCCAGGCTCTTCAGCCCCGGGCATCCATCATCACCACTCCCCTTTAGGAAGGCTTGCATAGCATGCTCTGAAAACGCACCTGCGTCTCCCTGGCGGCTAGTGAGGTTGGACAGCCCTGCCTTGTTCCATGGTGCCCGGAGGCATCTGTGTCCCCCAACGCTGTCTGGAGGGTCCCCTAAAACATCACCCTGTCATCGCCCAGGCAGGGATGGCAGGAAGCACCCGGTCCTCAGCGGTCAGAGCCCTGGCCCTCCGTTCCTGGCAGATGCCCCGGGACCCTGCACTGTGCCCGGCACTGGACGCCCCATCCTTCAGCCTGCCGCCCGGCCAGCAAGGCCCCTGTCTTGGGGTCCCTCCTCACACCCACATGCCCCCAGCCCCCCAGCTTTATTCTCACCCCGCCAGTGCCCCCAGAGCCAGCGGCAAGCACGTGTCCTGTGGGGGCCATGATGGCCCAGGCCCCAGGCAGGGAGCTTCCCCAAGACGGAGCCAGGCCCCTGCACCTGCTTCCCGCTGCCGGCCCTGGAACTCCCAGGCTCCCCCCCACCCAGGCCCCCTGGTGCCCGGAGTCTCTCTTGGAGAAGGACGCTGTGAAGACCCTTGACCGAGCCCGCACCTTCATGCCAAGGAGCCCCTTCTGCTTTCAGCCCCTGACCCCGACGCTCCCGCGGGAGCCCACGACTCACCCCAGGCTGTCTTGGCAGGCGCGACTGAGAGCTTTCAGGAAGTAGCAGGAGTATCTCTAGAACTCCCCAAAACCGCAAACAGAGCAAAACTGGGGGTGGGCCGACCAGCTGAGGCGTCTTCTCACTGGTGCTGAGGGGACAGCCTCGTCACTTTCCTGAAAACAGATCCAGGCCGCTTCTGCTCACGCTTCTGGCAACACCCCGAGCTGCTTCCACTCAGGCCCTCCCCGGCGGCCGGGCCCGATGCGGGGCCAGCTGGCGCGAGCTGCAGGGGCCTCTGAACCCCGACAGCAAGGCTGGACGCCCAGGGCGGGGACCCCCAGCAGCTCCTGGGCTCAGGCCGGAGGGCCCCTCCCGGGCCGCTGGGCACAGAGCAGGGCTGTCACCAGAAGGCCTTGCCCCCCGGGATGCTCATGGGGTGCTGGGAGCCGGGCTGCCTCCCGGCACCACCCCCATGGGCCCAGGACAGGGCCTGGCCCCAGCGCCCAGCCGTCTCACCAAAGCCCCCCTCCCCGGCCCCTCCTGGGGAGGACCCTGCAGGAAAGGCCAGCGTGCCCTGTGCTGGGCCTGAGCACTGTCCCCAAGCCCCCGGACCCCCTGGAGCCAATCCCAGCCAGGCCGGGGGGGCGTCCGCGGGTGAGTTTCTCTTGAGGGGTCCATGGTATCCCCCAGGAACCCAGGGTCCACTCGGGAAGGCAGGGCTTGCAGGACCCCAGCCTAACGCACACACCAGTGTCCTCGGAAGACGGCGGGTTGCGGAGGACCCGCCACCTCACTTGGTCACCATGGGCTGGTTCTGGGCTCTGAGGTGAGGCACTGGGAACCCCCCACTGCGGTCCCAGCTCTCCAGCCCAGCTCAGGGCTGGGCCTCTTAACCTCTGTGGGCCACCTGTGCCCAGCAGCAAGGCGGCAGGTGGAACCAAGACCCCTGCTCAGCGCACCCAGGGCTGGGGAGCCCCAGGAGGGCAGGCGCCCACTTGGCACTTTTCCTCGGGATGTTGCCTTGCAGTTGGACGCTGCCTCCCTCTCAGCAACCTCCCCACTCGGAGTGGTCTCTCAGGGGGGTCCCAGAGCACCTGGGGAGCCGGGTGTGGGGCACCTGGGAATCTGGGCATGGGACTCACCTCAGCCCCCCAACACCTGCCCAGGGGCGATGGTGTCAACCACGGGCCACTGCCAAGGGTGCTACCCACCACCCAGGGCTGCAGGCCCAGACGAGCGGTCTACAGTGGAGCCGAGGCTCGGCGGTCCGGGGGCCTCCTCAGCGTCTGAGGACCTAGGGCCTCAGCAGGAGTGGAGCCCGCTTCAGGGTCACAGGCTAGTGCCCTCGGAGATGCTGGGGGCAGCTGTCATCATGGGGCGGCCTGGGCCCTCCCGGGACTGACGCTTCTGCGGCCCCCCAGAGGTGCCACGTGTTTCCGGCTGCCCCGCCCCCAGCAGACAGTCTCGGGCCGCCGTCCCCCCAGGCCATGGCCATGGGGTCAAGGAGGGCAGCCGAGCCCTCCCTTGGGTTCCTCAGGGGGGCCTGGGAAGGGAGCCGGCCCCCAGGAGCTGGGGGCCGCGAGCCGGGCAGCAGCAGCGCCCACCCCACCTGCTTCCCGGCGCAACTCCCAGCCAGCGAGGCAGGTGTGGGCAATGGGGTTTCGGGGAGCCAGGGCCCTGGTGCGTTTCCTGAAGGCTGAGTGTCTTGCAGACAGGATAAAGGGGAATGCTGCGCCCCTTTTCTCAACATGCCCGGGGGCTTCTCAAGTAGAGGCCGCTAGCTCCCAGGGCCCCCCTTCCACCAGGCAGGCGCCCCTGATCCCGTCTGCAGCATCACGTCACCTCCTCATCACAGGGGAACGTTAGTCGCTGTCTGAAGCGGGTCGCGTAGTCACAGATTCAAACCCGAGAAGACATAGCGGGGCAGGCGGTGGCGGCCCCCTCGGGGCGCCGTCCGGACACCTGCTGGAGAGCGTGCTTCTCTAGGCCACGGGTCTCCACCCCCCTCACCGCCTCTGAAAGTTTCACAGGGAGAGGAGGGGAGTCCTGACGGCCCGAGTGGCCACCACCCACACCAGCGCCAAGACTTCCAGACAAGCCTCGTGTCTGTGAGCAGAGTCGGGTCCCTGACTCAGCGCCGTGTCGCCCTCCAGAGCCTCCGCACGCCCCTGCCTGCCCTCCTTGGGCCTGACAGCCCCTCGGCGGTGCCCCGGCGGCTCACGGCGGGCACAGCGCAGCCGGCAGGCGTGCCTGGTGATGCCGGGCGTCTTGGCGGCCCCACTCGGAAGGAGCGCTCTCCGACATTTACTTTCTGAGGTGACCTGGCCCACTGTCCCCTGAAATGTCACACATTCTAGATGTGCTTGACTGGGTATTCCCCGTGTCATCTAACGTGTTCCCCCACTGCGGGTTTCCCGTGTCTGGGAAGTGGGTCTGAAGCTCCGGCAGGTTCAGTTAGCGTTTCTGGCACTGGGACCCCCGTCATGAAGGCACGCCTGGCGGCTCATCCCCCACCCCGGCCGTCCCTCCCGGAGCTGAACCCCCCACTCCCAACCCCAGGGCGGCCTCCGCGCTGGGTCTGCCGAGTGGTGACTTTCCCATCACGTGGTGTCTCCATCTGTGATGGCACCAGCAGGCCTGGCGGCGGGGGGTTAGGGAGCTGCGCCCTCCCTGCTCCCCCAGCCAAAGGGCAGTAAGTCACCTCCTGCTGTAGCTAAGATGTCAGACTCTTTCTCACTGTCTCTCCCTGAGTATCACTAAGGACTCAGAGATTTTTACCGAGGCAGTTGCAGATAACAAGATCTACCATTATAACCACTTTCAAGAGAACAGCGCGGTGACCAGCGCCCTCAGGTTGCTGTGTGACCATCACCCACATCATCTATCTCCAGGACGCTCCTCTCCCCAAACAGAAACTCTGCCCCCACTAAGCCCCGGCTCCCCCGCCCTCCCCCGCCCTCCCCCGCCATCCTACCTCTGTCTCTGTGGGTCTGACGGCTCCGGACGAGTGGACTCTCCCAGGAGCATCCTTTTGTGACGGGCCTGTTTCACTCTGCATGAGGTCCTCAAGGCCAGCCCACGCTGGAGCAGGTGTCAGATGTGACTCACTCCCCGCGTGGCTGAGTCCTGTGCCATTGTGTGGCTGGACCACGTCTGCTTATCCATCGCCCATCCGTGGACACGTGGGTTGCTTCCCGCCTCGGGCTGCCTTGGGTAACACCGCTGTGAACACGAGTGTGCAGGACTCGGGGTTTTCACATCGCGGTGTGTTTCCTCCGTCGACTTCGGCTGTTGCCCTTGAGGACCCTCAAGTTGCCCCCGGCCCGCTGAGCCCTCTGCCCTGCCTCTGTCGGGGTGGTCCTGTGCTCCGTCTCTTCAGCTTTGCTATTACGCTGCGTTTTGCTCCTCCATCTCCAAACCCCTCCTGCCAGGAGCAGGCCCTACTTCCTCATGTGTGTCCGTCTGAATGTGCCACCCCTGATCCACTGGGGAGATGACCATTTTTTCTTCTTCCAGAAAGTCTGCCAGGCCTCCCTGGCCCCTGCCCCCCCTCCAGTGGAGCAGGGTTCTGCCCCCCCACCCCACTCTTGAGCCTCAGTGATGCTGTCACTGAATCGGGGGCTGGGGAGGGGAAGCGGGGGCTCCAGGGTTTCCTCGGGACTTTGTGCTTTCACAAGGGCCCGGGAGTTCCCCAGCGCCCTCCAGAGAAGGGGCTTTCAGGGTGGTTTTGCGGAGAGCTTCCTCGGGAGAGAAGAAGCCGTGAATGAAAAGGGGCTTTACAGAAGTTGTCATCCCAAGAGCTTGGTGATTCTGAAACTCATTACCGGCCCATCTTCCTCTGACTGGGGTGCATTCTGAATGTGAACCATGGGTCGTGGTTTCAACAGAGTTAAAGGGTGCTCTAGATCAGCCCAGAACAGGCTGCACATCACCTCAGAAACCCCAGACAGCCATGCTGAGCATGCTGAATTCTCTCTCTCCCCGCCTCGGCTGGCCCAGCCGCTCCCACAGCCTTGGGAAACCAGGTGCCTGGTCTCTTGGTCAAAACTGGCTACTTGAGCTCCAGCCTCCACATCTGCATTCCAGGTGTCAGGAAGGGAGGAAGTGGAGGGGAGAGGGGGCCCTGCTCTTTGAGGAGATGCACCAGAATCCCCAAACAGTGCTTCTGGTCCCATCTCCTCAGGAATGCACTGCTGTGGCTGTGCCTGGCTGGGGGGATGGCTGGGAAATGTGGTCTTTGATTTCACAGCGCCCGCTGACCCTGGGTGCTGTTCCTAAACAAGAGCGTCAGGGTATGGGGGAGGTGCTGCCCCAGGCACACGTGGTCACCAGCTTCTCTCCCACTTGGCGAAGGCAGGTCCCAGACAGGTGGGCGGGATGTCTGCTGGCCAGGCCCAGGGACGAAGCTGCCCCCAGATGAGAAGAGGGTCCAGAGTGGGGTTGATCTGGGGAGAGGAGGGAGGAGCTTGGAGAGCAGAAGCTAGGAGAGAGGGCTTGGGGGACAGATGAGGAGGGGAGATGGAGGGGAGCGGGGCCCGTGGGGCAGCTCCTCCTAAGGAGGCTTCCTCCCGCCAGGAGACCTACTGCCCAGAGCCTGCGAAGCAGGGTCCAAGTGGGGAACCCAAACCTTCAGTCCCCGTGGCTCTGGCCTACATGTCGTCTGGCTCCAGTGGCTTGGGCCCACCAGCTTAACAGACCTTGCTAGACCCCGTCTCCACCAACAGAATATTGCTCCTCCCAGGGAAGCTAAAGATGGCAAACGACATTACTGTTCTCTCCAGAATTTCCAGAACGACCCATCCACTCGTCAGAAGAAAGCGTCAAGCATGCTTTGTCTGGCGGAATTTTGGGAACCAGGATCACCAGTGTCTGCTGGGGGCACCAGAGGGTTCCGGACACGGGACAGGGTCACCGGCCCACCGAATCCTGCTCTGTGACAAGCCTGCCCCCTCTGTCTGTCTGTCCCTCTAGTCCACAAGCCCTGGGGGCCGCGGGTTTGCACCCCATTCTCTTTGGTCCCTGAGTCCACCCGTCCCTTGTGCATATGCCCCACCAGTGCAAACCATTCTCTAAAGACTGTGCTCGAGACTCCCCTGGTGGTCCAGTGGCTAAGACTCTGTGCTCCCAATGCAGGGGGCCAGGGTTTGATCCCTGGTCGGGGAACTGATCCCACATGCTGCAACTAAAGATCCCGCATGCCTCAACGAAGAACAGAAATCCCGACTTTAGTGCAGAATTCAGACCTGGCGCTGCCGAAGGAAGAAAGGATTTTTGTTTTTCTTAAAAAGACTGAACTCACATCCAGCCTCTGGACAGTAACAATTATTCTTGGGATGGTGAAAAGGGAAACTGAAACTTGGAGGACCAGAGGTTTGGAAAGTAGCAAGAGACTTTCTCCTTTACACAGGAAAGGAAAAAAAAAAACCCACAGCTGTTGGGGAGGACGCAGCTACCGGGGCAGAGAACAGCAAGGCTTCGGAAGAAAGCGGGTAACTGTCCCCTGGCCCTGGCGGCTGTCCCCCGGCCCCGGCAGAAGACAGGTGGGGGCCGCAGGCCACTGCCCCAGGGCAGGACAGATTTGGCTCTAAATGGAACCCCAGTGGGAAATTCTGCAAAGCCGTGAAGTTAATAGAACAGTGTGCAGGAGGGTGTCTTGGCAGCCTGGCCAGATAAGGGCATTAAAAATGTGTCCAAAAGCACTACATGAGGCAAAAAAAAAAAAGGGAAGAATCTGGCAATATCAACAGTGAGGCTTTCTGTTCAGCCAGGGATGCCTGGCCTGAGTTAACACGTGAGGACAGAACAGGAGAACACAGGCACTAAGATGAACAAGAGCTCATCCTGAAGGCGCACGAGGAGCTTCTGCAGGTGGAGACGGGCACGCGAGGGGCACGGGCACCTCTTGGACGTGGCTCTTGCCACTCCCGCCCGGGCCACGGCATGTCCACGCACCCCGAGCGTGGTCCCTGGCCTCCCCAGGGAGGGAGCCTCAGCAGGCAGAGCGCTGGTGGACAGTACGCAGTGTGGCCAGCTGGGAACCCCGAGCCAGCCCAGCTGGTGAGTGGTTACCCTGTCAGGGCTGCCCCCCCAGGAATTGGGGCGGCATCTGGTGAGTCAGCCCCGCTGCGGGATGGGTAGGAGGAGGCTGCCTGCTTCGTCAGCAGCTGTTTAATCAAGTGCCTACTGCGCATCAGGTCCAAGCAGGACCACAACAGACCCCGTCCACTGTCAGGGACCCCACCCTCCCTCAGGGCCACCCCCTCCCCGAGCACGGCCCAGGCCCGCTGCAACCCAGCGCCCCCCAGAACAGGCCCTTGGGCCCTGCTGCACCCTCAGCGGCCCTTGGGAACCACCCGCTTTGCCTCAGGGTCCCAGGACCCGGGAGGGTCTCAGAGGTCAGGGCCTCCTCGGGGGGCACAGCGGGATGGCCTCTGCCCAGCAGAAGCACAGGTGTGTGCGGCCAGTGACCTGCCCCGGGGCAGGGAGAGCTAGACAGAAGCCAAGAGGCGGCCTGGAGCACCCCTTCAGGCGGGGGGCGTGGTGGCCAGGGGTCCGCCTCCTTTCCTGCCCGCTACTCCAGGCTCACTTGCTGTCAAAGGTCAGCCACAGACAGCAGGTCTCCAGTGAGAGCAGGAGCCTCCCCCCAGAGCCCTGCCCCGAGGCCCCCCATGGGCCTCACTTCCTTGCAGCCCAGGGTCTCCAACCCAGAGGTTTTGTCCCCGGGGACACAGCTTCCCTGGAGACGGTGTTGGGTTTCCTACCTGGGCCAAGGGTGCTGCTGGAGGCTAGGGATGGTGCCAAGCATCCCTAACGCCCAGGAAGGACAGCGCCCTTCAGCACAGAGAAGCTTCCAGCCCCAAATGTCAGCAGGGGCTGCCCGGCAGCCCTGCGCAGAGGGGGCCCCCTGACCCACGGCTGCCCCAGGCTCCAGGGAGGCCCTCAGAGGCGCCGGGAGGGCAGGCGGGCAGGAACTCGCCGTGAGCCCTGCGCTGCCCCGCAGGGTCCAAGCCGCTGCCCTCCCCCCCACCTCTCACCCTCTCTACTAAGTGGAAAGCGGAAGTGACCTGGGAGGCAAGCGCTTGGGGCTGGGCAGTCAGGGCGCTGGACTCAGGCTCCCCCTCCCCCACGGACGCAGCAGAGACAGTGGCCCCACATGGAAAAACACCCCGGCTGGCGTGTGAGCTGCTGCTCGCACCGGAAGCAATCCGGTTTCCTCTGCAGGAGGCCGGGGCTCCAGCCGACCGCAGCTTACAGCACTCGGGTAACAGGCCATGGGGCCGCCGGGCTGGGGGGACCGGGGTGGCCGGAACTCATGGTCTCGCCGCCGGGTTAATGAGTGTTTACCATCGGCGGCTATGTGTGTGGGGCCAGGCAGGTGCTGGAGGGCAGGGACCACGGCCCTCCCGAGGCGCCCACAGTCCTGGCAGGTGGCCAGCTGCGGTCCGGAGGGCATGGGTGGGGAGGGGGGGGGCAGTGCCAGGCTGGGGAGGGACCGGGCCTGCAGCTGGGGTCCCCAGTGACCAGGTGGGGGTGCAGCCAACCCACAGTCGGGGCTCTGCTCAGGGCGGGGCAGGGGGGTGTGCGTGTGAAGCCACCACCTGCACTCCCAGCACCTGGGCTCCCCCCACCTCAGAAACGCCAGGATAGGGCGGAGCGACCCCCGCTTCCTGCCCCTCGCTGCAGGCTCATGCTGGGGGCGTGTTACCTGCCCGGACGGGGAGCCCACCCCAACCCAGGCGAGGGAGCCCACCCCACCTGTATGGGGAGCCCACCCTGCCCGGACGGGGAGCCTGTTTCCTTGCACAGGAGAGCCCAGTCCACACAGCTGCTCACACACGCGGCCACGGAGGCACGCACCCCGCGCACGGGCGCACACGCACACACACACAGACACACACACACTGGCAGACTCAATGTGCCACTCCCGCCCCCCCCGCCCCCAGCCCTGGCCCACTTTCCTCCCCGTGATGGGCAGTTCCACTCTCCCGGGTGGAGATGCGGTGCAGGCGGGGCCCCAGGAGGGGCGTGAGCACCTGCGGGGTGTGGGCAGAGCGCCCGCCCCTGAGCAGAGAGGCCGGAATGAGCAGGCACACTGCGCCCAGCCTCTGCCCGGCTCCTCTGCCTTCTGGCCCCCTCCCCGTTCAGCCCTGTCCTCCTGCACCCCCCCCGCCCCCTCCCTCAGTCTCTGCCGGCCAGGCTTCGGGGAGGCACCATCTCTGCCCCGAGGGTAAATTCCCAGGACTGCGTCTTTGAGGCCTCATGTGACGTTTAGGGTGGATATTTCTATTTCCAGGGGCTTCCCAGGTGCCATGGTGGTAAAAGAGTCCGCCTGCCAATGCAGGAGACACAAGAGACACGGTTCGATCCCTGGGTCGGGAAGATCTCCTGGAAAAGGAAATAGCACCCACTCCGGTATTCTTGCCTGAAGGATCCCATGGACAGAGGAGCCTGGTGGGCTACAGTCCATGGGGTCGCAGAGAGTCGGACAGGACTGAGCGTCTGAGGACACATTTCTATTTCTGCAGACAGAAGAAAACAAAACCAGTCACGTTACTGGGGCTTGGGCAGGGGCTGTGGTGACTGCAGACCCGCTTTGTGACAACAGGGAGCCCTCTGGCCCCTGAGCGGGCTGTGGGCCTTCCCCGTCTTTTTTCACTTCTTCCTGCAGCACTCTGCGGCTTCCATTCTGTAGCCTTCTCTCTTCCCTGGGTCAGGCAATTCCTAAGTATTTTATTATTTTTCATGCCGCTGAAAATGGAACTGATTTCTGCCACCAACCACCCACAACAGATGCCTTGGGAATTGACAGGAGTGCAAATGCTTCAGACTTACAGTGTAGGGAAAAAAAGGAACAGAATGGAACTTACTTCCTAATTTCCTTCCCAGCTTCTCTGCTGTTAGTGAGTAGAAACGCAGCTGATTTCCTTGTTGGCTTTGTATCCTGCCCCTCAGCTGGAATCCTCAGGATTTCCTACATGTCAGATCACAGCATCTGCCAACGGAGGTCATTTTGCTTCTTCCATTCCCCTTGGTCCTGTTTGCATCAGTGTGACCCTGCAGAGAAAACCTGGTGGTTGGTGTTTGGCCGCTCAGTCGTGTCCAACTCTCCGCAACCCCAGGGGCTGCAGCCCGCCAGGCTCCTCTGTCCATGGAATCCTCCAGGCCAGAACACTGGAGTGAGTAGCCATTCCCTTCTCCAGGGGATCTTCCCAGCCCAGGGATTGAACCCACGTCTCCTGCACTGCAGGCAGATTCTTTACCACTGAGCCCCCTGGGAAGCCCAGGAAACTTGTATCCTAACTTCATTCTGCACACAGGCCCCAGCTCCACCGTGAACTTCCTGTTACTATTGGCGGCTCCGTGTCACCCCCTCGCAGGGACCCAGCACTGGGCTGGGCAGCCCCAAGGCCAGTGGGGACAGGGGACAGGGCCCTTCTAGAAGCGCGAGTGCTACGGACATGTGTCCATGTGCTGGATCTCACCTTCAGGTGCCACAGTGGGGTCTGGGGTCCCAGGTTGAGCCCCAAACCCCGACCGACGTCAGGGAGACAGTGGACAGGCTTCCGTCCCCCACTGTGGCCACGGGCTGCTGCTTCTGCCTGCGTCCCGCGCTCTCACCCCCCAGTTCCTCCCTGCCCCTTGGAGCCGAGAGTCACCTGCCAACCTGGTCAGAGAGCTGACCCTGGCTGTGGGTCACCGTCTGTGTCTGTGCTTCCAGCTCCAGGTGTCTGTGTGGGAAGACTTCTGAGTGTCGCTTCATTCAAGTTTTTCATTTCCTCTAGCCCATTCCAGTTTTCTAATGATTTGTTCATTTCATTTATGTTTTCAGAAATAATATACAGTAGTCTGCAGTGCCTTCTTATTATCTGCCTTTTGAAATGGGTGTTTTTGCACTTTAAAAACCTTCACACACATGCTGTAAAGGTCCCTTTGCAGCGTTCAGCTCTGCAGGTTTCCTTTTAAGTGAGTGTATTTATTGATTGGCGGCTGTGCTGGGTTTTGCTGCTGAACGCAGGCGCTCTCTAGTTGTGGTGCGGGGGCTTCTCACTGCGGTGGCCTCTCCTGTGGTGGGGCATGGGCTCTAGGGAGTGCGGGCTCAATAGTTGTGGCTCATGGGCTTAGCTGGCCCATGGCAGGTGGGATCTTCCCGGACCAGCGACCGAACCCAGGTCTCCCGCATTGGCAGGAGAATTCTTAACCACTGGACCACCAGGGAAGCCCCAGTTCTGTAGGTTTTGACAAATGCACCCGCCTGTGTACCCACCAGGGTCATGCTGGGAACAGCTCCATCACCCCCACGCTCCCCTTTGCAGCCCCTGAGAGGTAATCCTTCCCCGGCCCCAACCCCTAGCAACCACTCATCTGTCATCGCCCTCTCTTATTTTGCCTCTTCCAGAACGTCACGTGAATGGACCTGTACAGCCCCTGGAGTCCGGAGTCTTTCCTGCAGACAAGGTGCTGGGGGCTCATGCACACCGGGAGGCACCTCGTCGACGGACCGCAGGGGCCAGCGCCACGCCAGCCGGATGACACCTATTTTGTTTCCGGTTTGGGGCGACCGTAAATAAAGCTGTTGTAAAGGTTCATGCACAGGCATTTGCAACGACGTGAGCTTTCACTTCCCTTGAGTAAATATTAGGAGTTGGAAGCCCTGGGTCACCAATTGCTGAGATGTGACCCCACTCTTCCACCAGGCTACACCGCCCTGCCTTCTCACTGTGACACGTCGGAAGTTTTCATTCACGATTTTGTTCACAAATTTGTCGCACAGTTTCTCATGTGGTGTTGCTCTTTTACTCGTGTTACTAGTTTCTGCTGTTCTCTCACAGGTGGTATTGCACTGTGGCTTAATTTGCATTTGCCTAATGACAGGGGGAGGGAGCATCTTTTCATGTGCTTATTTGCCGTTACCAGGACACCTTCCTCCGCGCTGTTCAGGTCTTCTGTTGTTGTTGCAGTCGCTCAGTCGTGTCCGACTCTTTGCGACCCCACGGACCACAGCACGCCAGGATTCCCGGTCCTCCACCATCTCCCGGAGTTTGCACAAACTCATGTCCATTGAGTCGGTGATACCATCCAGCCATCTCATCCTCTGTTGTCCCCTTATCCTCCTGCCTTCAATCTTTCTCAGTATCAGGGTCTTTTTCCAATGAGTCAGTTCTTCGCATCAGGTGGCTGAAGCATTGGAGCTTCAACTTCAGCATCAGTCCTTCCAATGAACATTCAGGACTGATTTCCTTTAGGATGGACTGGCTGGATCTCCTTGCAATCCAAGGGACTCTCAGGAGTCTTCTCCAACACCACAGTGCAAAAGCATCAGTTCTTTGGTGCTCAGCCTTCTTTATGGTCCAACTCTCACATCCGTACATGACTACTGGAAAAACCATAGCTTGAACTTTATGGACCTTTATGTTTGGCCCATTTTCAAATCAGGTTGTTTGTTCCCTTACTGTTGAATTCTGGAAGTTCTTTACTTATTCTGAAAACAAATTCTTTATCTGATACATGTTTTGCAACCATTTTCTGTTTGTGGTTTCTCAGTTCCTTTTAAGTCTGACATTGCATCTTCTTCTTGATTTATATTGTTTAATTTGTGTTTTTTCTTTCCTTTTGAAAAAATACTGATTTGTTTAGTTGGCAATGCCAGGTCTTAGTTGTGGCACGTTGGATCTTCACTTAGCATGAGAACTCTTGTTGGGACACGCGGGACCTAGTTCCCTGACCAGGGATGGAACCCGGGCCCCCCTGCCTCGGGACCGTGGACTCAGCCCCTGGCCACCAGGGAAGTCCTTCTTTCCTTTTTCTCACAGGTTTGTCTGTTTCATTGGTTGATTCTCTTCAAAGGACTAACTTTCTCTTTGCAGACCTATTCCTTCACCTTTGCTTCCCACTTCATCCTTTCCCAAGCTTGGTTTTATCTCTGTTTTCAAGCTTTCTCCAGGGTCATTCTGTTCCCCCATCAATGCCTTCTTTTTTCCCCCCAACATTTTCATTTGATTTGCAAAACTCAGGGAGAACTTGCATTCAGCGTAGTCCCTCTTCGGGAGCACTGTCTGATTTTGACCAGTGCTCCAGCTAATCGGCTACTGGTGCAACCAAGTATGAGCTCTTCCCTCTGGCCCCTCTGCAGCCCTCCTACTCCCCTTCCCCCGTGAGACGGGGATGTGGCGACAAACCCGGGGCTTCCTTCTTTCCCATTATCTGGAAGCACCGCTGTTGCTGCCCAGGCACCCCCTAAGTCTGGATACACAGTGTTCTTATTATCACTCAGCTCTGGGTATTTAAAAACTTCTTTCATGATCTCTTCTTTAGCTCATGATGTTTTAAGAGCTTTTGTTAATTAATTCACTTATCTGTTTTCGACTGCACTAGGTCTTCATTGCTGTTGGAGGCTGTCCTCCCGTTGCGGCAAGCAGGGACCCCAGGCACATGGGCTTCAGTGCTTGCAGCACGCGGGCTCTGCAGTTGTGGCCCACGGGCTTAGCTGCCCCACAGCATGTGGGATCTTCCCGCATCAGGGATCTAACCCGTGTCCCCTGCATTGGCAGGCAGATTTTTAACCCCTGGACCACCAGGAAGTCCCAGCCCATGAGTTTTTAGCAGTGTGTGCACATGTCTGTTACAGGGCTTATCTACAAACATTTCCCCAACATTGTATTATATTTTCAAACACACAGCACAGTTAAAAGAACTGTACAGTGAAACTTCACATACCCCCACCTGTGTTCTACAATGAACAGCACACTGCACTTGCTATTTCATGCATCTTTCCACCCACCCATCTATCCATGCCCTTCCATCCATCCATCCATCCATCCACACCCCATCCCTCCCTTCCTGCATCCATGCACCCATCCGCCCAGCTCTCTATCCATCCACGAGGCCCCTCCCTTTTCCCTACAAGTCCTGCTTTCTCACTTGGAGGCCTGCCTACAACCTGGGGTGATGCTTTCAGCCCCTGTGCCCTGGTAAACAGGAAACCAAGGACAGAGGCCCGATGGCTGTCACCTTGGGGCTGCTGCCGCCCACCGCTCAGCCAAGAGCCGACTGTGCGCTCAGGAGAGGCCATCTCAGACACTCCAGGGGCTCGGAGGGTGCCTCCCAGGAGCCAGGCAAGGGCTAAACCTTTCTCTGGACTGTGCAGCGGGTGGACACTCTGGCCCTCTGGGTGAATCCTTTGCTGCCCAGGCCCAGAAGAGGGTTCTCTGAGGGTGACATGGAAGCCAAGCCTCGGGATGAGTGCATGGAAGGACTCAGGAAAGGCTGCACCCTTGATGGCTGGGACACGGTGGGCTGGGGGGTGTGTAGTGAGGTGGGCAGGGGAGGGGCAGGTGGGCAGGCCCTGGGCACCGGAGTGGGTGCTGGCGGGGTGCGGGCAATGCTGCAGCTGGAAGAGGGGTGTCCAGCTCCTCCCTCCATGGGGAGGACACTGGAAGGCCAGGGTCTGGGGAGGAGTCTGGGGCTGGAGGCCTGCCATGAGCACGGTGCCCTCAGGCTGGTGCCTCAGCCGACCTCTGACTGGGGTGGAGGCGCTGCTGCAGGCCGGGGTCCCCCCACCTCCTCCATCCCACTCCCCACAGGCCCTGCAGACACCCAGCTGCAGGCCCAGCCCCACAGGGTCCCTGGGCTCAGGGAAGGGGCTTCTGTCCCTAGGAGGCTCTCCTGGCTCAGCCACGCCGGGAGTGGAGCAGGGACCCACCCCGCCTTCAGCAGGCCAGCTGTCAGCCCTCTCCCCGGGGACAACCCAGCGGCCCAGCCTCCCGAAGGCCGGTTTCTCCTGGGGTAAGGCCGGCCAGCAGCAGGGAATTCTCTTCCCGCCCCCACCCCCCATTTTCACAGAGGAAGCGAAGGCAGAGCCTGGGCCAAGTGTTCAAGGTCACCTCCTAGGGACACAGCTGGGCTCCGCAAGTTTCATGCACCTAATGCCCCCAAGAAGCCGCCTTCCTGCCCCCCTGTTGCACGCAAACTTCAAGATGAGGCGAAGGCTCAGGGGCCTGGGTCCCCGTCTGCGATCCCGGTGTGCGCTCCGGGACAGGGCGGCCGGGCCTAGGGAAGCGGGTCGGCGGGGCTCTGCCGGCCGCCCTGCGCCGCCTGCTGGCCGACATCGGCCCTGCGTCCGCGGGCCTCGCTCGGGGCTCCCCGGATCGTGGGCGCCTCGCGGCCCAGAGCCCCTGCCCCGAGGGGCCGGTAAGGGCAGAAGGAGGCGGAGGCGCGGCCCAAGACCGCCGGCTGGCTTGCCCCGCACCCCTTCGTGCCGTCTGCGTTACCACGAGCAACCCGGCGACCCCTCAGCACGCCGGGCGCTGGGATACAAAGCCCGACCCCCTCCCCCGGGTGCGCGGGACTCACCGTTTCCCCCGCGGAGAGACGGGCGAGCGGCGCCCAGGGGCACGCGGAGGAGCGAGGCGCCCAGCCGCGGGAGCGCCCGGTCCGGGTCTCACGCAGCCCCCCGCCCCGTGAGCGGGTCCCGAGACTCCCGGCTCTCCCCGCCCTCCCCTCACCCGGTCTAGACCCCGAGCCCGGCCCCACCGTACCGAGCTCCCCAGCCCGCTCCGCCCCGGGCCCTGCCGCAGCCCCTCGCCGCCTCCACCCCCTCCCGCCGCCTAGAGCCGCCCCAGCCCCCTCCGACCCCGGGCGCGCACCGGTGGGGCCGGCGCGCACCCACCCTCGCCCCGCGGGCCTGAGCGCGCCGGGGCCTGTCGAGGCCGCTGGCAGAGCAGCGCCGGGGCGGGCCCGGGGCGGGGAGAGACTTCGGTGTGTGCAGCCCGGAGGAGCTCCAGGCAGCCCCCGAGCGAGCCAGGGCGGGCAGGGTGGGTGTCTTGGGTCGGGTTCCCAGGCAGCACCCCATCCCGGGCACTGGCGGCGCTCGCCGTGGTGTCTTCTATTTGCACGGTACTCTGCGAGGTAGGTACTGCTCTGGTTCCCATTTTCCAGATGCAAAAATCAAAGCCCAACTGGGATTCGCGCCCAAGATCCAGACGCCGCCCCCAGGTCACGGAGAGGTCTGCACAGAAACAGCTGGACGGCCATGACCTCGGGGGTCTCATCTGTCTGTCGGCAGGGCTGGGCCTGCTCCCCCAAGAGGATGAAAATTCCCGGCGCACGCGGGCGTCCAGGCCGGGGGAGTCCCTTCCCCAGTCCTAGACCTCCTGTGCCGGCCCTCCCGCTCCTTCCCCGGGGGAGCGGCGACCCTCGGGGCGCAGAAACTAGGAGGGAGTGGAGGGAGCCCGGCTCCTGGCAGGGCCGCTCTGGGGGTGCGGGCTGGGCCCCGGGCCCCGCCCCCTCGGGAATCCAGCTCTCCGCGCCAAACAGCCGAGGGGGCCGAGGGGGCCGCAGGGGCGGCGAAGCCAGCGCGCTGACACACGCGCCTGGAATTCCCGGGGAGCCAGCGCCCTCGGCGACCCCTCCGCCCTGGGCCGGCCCCAGCCCGCGGGGGCAAGGAGAGGCCGGCTCCCCGGCGGGGCGCGGCGGGCGCCGACCCCCTCCTCCTCACGGAGCCGCCCCGCCGGGTTCCTCCACGTGCTGCCCGG